TTGACGCCTAGCCCTATCCCTTTTCCCTGTAAGAGTTACGCACGATCATGAGTGACGCACGTATCGAGCAGTATACCAAGGCCCTCCAGTTCGCCGAAAAGCAGGTAGCCGCCACGGTTAACCAACATCCGGACTATTTCCCGATCTACACCCAGGGTGGTAAGTGGCGTCATGACAAGGAGTTATGGACGGATTGGTGCGCCGGTTTCTTCGCCGGCATGATGTGGCAATTCTACCTCCGCACCGACGATCCGAGCTGGCTAGAGCGTGCAGAACATTACTCAAAACTATTGGAACATCGCCAACACGATCGCGACGTCCACGACCTTGGGTTTATCTTCCTAAGCACCTATTTGCCTTGGTATAAGTTGACTAAGGATAAGCACTTACACGACGTACTCGTCCAAGCCGGCCAAACGCTGGCGATGCGATTTAAAGAGAACGGACAGTATCTCAGAAGCTTTGTGTCTGATGACTCACTTTTCATCGACATTATGATGAACGTTCCCATCATCTTCTACGCCGCACTGGAGACGGGCGACGAAGAGCTGATGCGTCGTGCTGTGAACCATTGCCAAACGACCCGCGACACGATCGTGCGCGAAAACGGCTCGACGGCCCATGAAGGGATGTTCAACCTGGAGAGCGGTGAATTCCTTAAACAAACTACCCATCAGGGTTTACGCGGCGACAGCAGCTGGGCCCGCGGTTTGGCTTGGTCGCTTTATGGTTACTCGAAGTGCTACGAACTGACGAAGGACCAGCAGTATCTTGACGTGGCGATGCGAAACGCGGACTTCTGGATCGCTAATCTTCCAGAAGATAACGTGCCATTCTGGGACTTCGATGCCGACTTGAGCCAACCGGCACCTTGGGGAGCTCAGAAAGAGACCTCGGCCGGAGCAATCGCCGCATCCGGCCTGCTGGATCTAAGCAAGCAAACTCAAGATCCAGCCAAGGCCTCTCAGTACAAAGAAACTGCCCTGGCGATGTTAGACGCACTGGTTCAGCCTAAATACCTTGCGATCAACGAC